TTCATTGCCAGCCAATGCCCCAACACCCGCGCTCACAGTTTCGGGGACAAGATTGAGGTGCCGCACCTGATCCTGGCCATCCATAGGTGGCTCAGAAACTTGCGCTTCCATGCCGGCGTTTACCAGTATTGGCACAAGAAGCCGGGCAAGGATACCATCGACGGGATCCCGCACGAATCAGACCCGATCCCTGCTCCCAGCAAGGAGGATATGTTGGCAGAGGAAATCGTGCACCTTCTGCCGAATTCCCCGGGCAAGATACGAGTCCTGTTGAGACGTAAAACCGCCTTCAAAACTGGCAACCTGGCCAGTGACATCAGGCTGCAATTCAAGCGCCTCCTCGACGCCGGCCTTGTGGAAGCCACGGAGGAGCATACAGCGCCGCCTGTGAAAAGACGAAAGAAAGATGGTCAGCAGGTGAAAGACACAACGGTGCAGAGGACCGACTGGAAATCGACCACACAAGTGTACAGACTGGTGCCACTGGACAAGCACAGTGAGGGCGCAGAGGCATTGCGGAAAGCTTTGCAAATTCCCGTCAGTGCGTTTCCGCACTCTCTTTGAGCCACTGAGACTGCTGGCCGTGTTTTGTCTTGTTTGTTCCTTCCATGTTACTACAAAGACGACTGACAAGAAATATGTATCATCAAACGTTGGCGACTCAAAGCACAGACCATGATGGTGCTAAGGCAGTGGCTCAAATTGCCGTCAGTGCGTTTCCGCATTCTCTTTGAGCCACAGAGACTGCTTGACATGTTTTGTACTGTTTTCTCCTTAGATTTTACGAAAAGACTCTTGAAAAGAAATATGTATCATCAGAAATTGAAGTGATGTGTGATTCACCAGATCAAAGACTAGAGCATGAAGGTGCTCAGGACGACGTCCAGGGCCGCGAAACACCGACTGATCATGTGCACGCCCAGGACGACGTCCAGGGGCACGCACCAACTGCTCACGCGCACTCTGAGTGCCAGGCCCAGGGCTGTTTGGCAACGGCAACTCATCGTACGCATTTCTCTCCGCGCACAAGGAGGTATACAAAAAAGAGTTCTTGCCAGCCATTTGTCATACCCGCTTGACTCCCGACTGTACATTGTCAGCGACTTCAGTTTGATAGACTTGTTTTGCCAAGGGCACTAACTGGATTTAATTATCTACCAGTCATGCATTTGCCAGACATGGGCAGAGATCATCAGGCCTGTGATGTTGCGCAGCTGTTTTTCTTTTAGTTCTGCAGGCTCAGGGCTTGATATCCTCGTGCCAAGATGGCGCAAACAAAACATGCGTTTTTCAAGGCAGGTGCCTGTGAGATGCATTTGCCAGGAGTGACAGGAAGGGCCATCCACACCATGGATGTTGGGCAAGAGGAGATGCCCCACCGCTTGAGGGAGATGACGTTGAATGATAGCATCGTGTGCCGCTTCAGCAAGCTACTGCCCTGTCACTTGGAAAGTATCAAAAAGAATGTGATTTTCATGATGCAGAAAGCGGGGAAAAGGACCAAGACAGCGAGCCGTGGCTAATTTTAAGGCAGACTTGTTGAATTCAAACTGTTTCATGGTGTAGTTCTGCCTGACTGCTGCACTGAATGTGACTGACTGACTTCGTTTTTGCCACCAAGAATTCTCTTCCAAAACATGGTCGCGTCCTACGATGGAAAGGAGGGTGGCCCAGAGTTCAGCGGGCCAAAGCATGGCGCCGAGGATGCCACAGTTTGCGTCACTGGTTTCGATTCTTTCAGCAACCTCTTCATGTTTGTAGAAGACGGCGCAGAGAACTCACATAGCGAGATCTCCTGGTGCCTTGAGAAATTCAGGACTGGGCCTCCCAAGCTACTTTGTTGGAATGCACGCATTTCTTTTGGCTGAGACAGGATTGATGATCAATCCGCAGAGCAGAAGGCGATGAAAGTCTGCGTTTGCCCTGAGAAATTTGCTTTGTTGGCTCACCTTTGCCAGTATGCAACAGTTGCTTGACTTGAGTCTTGCTATATAGTAGTTTCAGAAAGTCAATCAAAGAACCATTTGATCCACGTTTTCAATCTTGAACATTAAACTCAGGATTCTATTTTTTTTGTGTCAACGGCGAATGACATCCCTTTACAGCTGCACCTACATTTTGCTTTGATGCAGCCACTCTCAGGATGATGACTGAACAGTGAGTCTATACCGAGCCGCTACCTGTCAGTCGCTCAGCACATCCAATGAGACGTTATAGAACAGTGAAATCTGTGTCAGGTTTTTGTTGTTGCCCCCAGAGCAAGCTCCTTTGTGTCGATCAGATGCCAGATGCTCATGTTTGTCAATTTCTGTGGCCCAGGCCCGGGCCTAGTGGCGAAGTTTGGAAAGTGACAAGCCGAGCAGCGACCCAGAGCTTGGAAAATCTTGTCGCCGCCGAGCGTCAGCCAATTGCAGAATTGAGCCACCCATTCACCATGCCAGCTTGACCATCATCTAGAGATTTCAGTTTGACCGAGTTGCTGTGCCAAGAGCACTGGATGTGTTTGACTATCTACCACGATGTCTTTGATGGTGACTTGACGCGGCGTAAACACTCTTCCAGAATGGTCAATCACCAATGTCATGCCGACCTAGAATGGGGAACCAACAAAAATCTATAAAGCGTAGTTTTAAAACACCTTGTTTAAGAGACAAAGTCTTGGAAAATCAACATGAATACTAAATTAGGGGAACCAAGGTGCATCCCTTAAAGGTTTCACAGCGGCAAAGGCATCCGCAAATGGGATATGTGCATGAGAAGAATCATCTTGCTCATCATCACTGGAATCCCCCATGGCTGCGACCCGAAAGGCCTCCACATATAAATTTTGGAACCAAGAATACGGTAACATAAGTATTTATTACAGTAACTACTGGATATTCTATTTCCAACCTCGATCCTCGATCCATGGATCCATATTTAACACCCGCAGCAGCTGATGCAATTGGGCGCAGGTGGAAGGGGCACGTGCTGTCATGATGCGCTTCTCGCGACCTGGCGGTGGCATCGCTGGCCGGGATATATAAAAATTTGAAAGGAAACCACCGGGTGTTTCTTCACTACCATGTAAAATTGGCAGGTTTTCACATGTTTCTCTTTGGGGAAAAAACTGATTGAACAAACCAATGAAGCATTTACCGTTTGTGGATAGATTCGAATCATGGGGACACCCTTCATTACTCAAAAGTATGTTTCCAAATATATTCTCATGAACTGAAAACAGATGTTGGCATTTTCAACAACATCCCCAACACAAAACTAAAAAAAATGTCAGCGGAGTCACCATGAACATTTGCGGAAGTGGCAGGCTCACCATCCAGTGTGAAGGAGTCCACGGAAATTGTGTATCTTCAGACTTGCCATCCGGATGGAAAATATTACCACCAGGAAACATATATCACCCTTAGTTCAGCTTTCTTTGGAACCAAAAAGATTTCACTTAGGGAAAAAAATCACAAAACACAAGGCTTATACTTCCGGTTTTCATGTGACGGAAATTGGACCACTGTAACTGACCTGGAATGTGGGCCTGCCACCGCGTGCATGCATGGCAAGGGCTAAGGTGCGGTGGCGTGATCCACACAACTCAGAAAAAAACTGAACCATCGCATTCAGGATGAGATTTTTCCGTGTTGTATACGATTCCTTAGTATATTAACTACAATGTTTAAATTATTCCATGGCAACACATGTGGATTATTTGGTGGACAAGCGGACAAAACGTTTTATTTCATGATGCTAACTCCATGGCTCGTTGTTTGCGACACAAAAATAAACATGTTTAAAACCAACATACCACTTCCACATTCCAGGGCAAAATGCCCACCGCTGGCCAGCAGCGATCGAGCGCGAACGTGCGAATGATCCAACCCCAGTGGGAAAAATGGGACTTGCATAAATTAAGTAATATGTTTGTGAGGGTTGTGTCCCCCAAAATGGAATCAACAGTTTTGTTCCCCAGCGTAATCAATGTATATGGTGTGCAAATGTTTTCACCAGGAACAAAGCCAACAAATATAGTGTGGAAATGGTTTGGTCTGTATGGGGCTGATCGTAAAATGGTGGTACCCCAAAACTATGGGTTTCAATGAGATAATGGTATAAGTCTGGGTGATTCGTGGTATTCCTATTACTATGTACAATTACATATAGGGAAACCTCAAACATAAGAAATCCACGCACCACACGGACCACAAATCCTGGGATGGTTTGGACTAGTTTGTTGTGTTTTTCTGATAAATGTTGTTCCCAACAGAAAATCATTTGGAGAGATTAATTTGGGGATTACTTTGGGGATTGTACTCTCTCTTTGGGCCCCAGTTTAAATAACACAAGTCATCAAGCGCATACTTAAACAATATGTAGAGATATGTAGATAGGTATATATATATATATACTCATTTATATATATATATGATATTTTACATATATATATACTTGCTAGAATAAAACTCACAGTACCGCATCTTTTTTTCTCCTCCCACGCTGTCAATGATGGAAATTGCCACAGTGTTTTCTCCAGGGTATGAAAAAACTGCCATTTTCACAGCATTTCACGGCGTTGTCATGGAAATTGCCATGGTGTTTTCTCCACGGCATGAAAGTTGCCATTTTCACGGCATTTCACGGCCAAATCTGTTTCCACGGCCATACGTGGTTTCCACGGCCATATGTGGTGATTTCCACGGCCAAATGGCCAAACGTCATTCGTCGCTTTTTTTTGCGATCTAATGGTTCCCCCAGGTACGCAGCGCTACGCAGCGCTACGCGGCCCACACGCATTAGCTACGCAGCGCTACGCAGCGCTACGCAGTCCACACGCAGAGCTACGCAGCGCTACTCAGCATAGCGCCGCATAGCACCGCATAGCGCCGCATAGCGCCGCATAGAACCGCGTAGCGCCGTATAGCGCCGCATAGCGCCGCATAGCGCCGCATAGCACTGCTATTCAGCCGCTGCGTGTGGGCTACGCAGCGCTACGCAGCGCTACGCAGCGCTGGGCAGCGCTACGCAGTGCTACGCAGCGCTACGCAGCCCACACGCAACGCTACGCAGCGCTACGCAGCGCTACGCAGCGCTACGCAGCGCTACGCAGCCCACACGCAGCGCTACGCAGCGCTACGCAGCGCTACGCAGCGCGACGCAGCGCTACGCAGCCCTACGCAGCCCTACGCAGCGCTACTCAGCGCACACGCAGCGCTACGCAGCGCTACGCAGCCCTCAAAAATTTCGACCCCCCCTGTCGCCAACACTGCCATGTTTGTCCCACTTTGGGGTTCTTGTTCCCACTTTGTTCCCTTTCTTGTCCCACTTTGGGGTTCTTGTTCCCACTTTGTTCCCACTTTGTTCCCAATCTTGTTTTACTTTGAGGTTCTTGTTCTTACTTTGTTCCCATTCTTGCCTTATTTTGGTGTTCTTATTCCAACTTTGTTCCCATTCTTGTCCCAGTTTGGGGTTCTTGCTCCCACTTTGTTCCCATTCTTGTCCCACTTTGGGGTTCTTGTTCCCACTTTGTTCCTATTCTTGTTCCACTTTGGGGTTCTTGTCCCCACTTTATCCCACTTTGTTCTCATTTTTATTCTACTTTGGGGTTCTTGCTCCCACTTTGTTCCCACTTTGTTCCCATTCTTGTCCGACTTTGCGGTTCTTGTTCCCACTTTGTTCCCATTCTTGCCCCACTTTGGGGTTCTTGTTCCCACTTTTTCCCCACTTTGTTCCCATTCTTGTTCCACTTTGTTCCCATTCTTGTCCCACTTCCACTATGTTCCCATTTTGTTCCCATTCTTGCCCCACTTTGGGGTTCTTGTCCCCACTTTGTTCCTATTCTTTCCCCACTTTGGGGTTCTTGTTCCCACTTTGTTTTATTCCCACTTTGTTCCCACTTTGCTCCCATTCTTGTCCCATTTGGGGTTCTTGTTCCCACTTTGTTCCCATTCTTGTCCCATTTTGTTCCTCTTTGCGGTGCTTGTTCCCACTTTGTTCCCATTCTTGTCCCACTTTAGGGTTCTTGTTCCCACTTAGTTCCCACTTTGTTCCCATTCTTGTTCCCACTTTGTTCCCATTCTTGTCCCACTTCCCACTTTGTTGCCACTTTGTTCCCATTCTTGTCCCACTTTGGGGTTCTTGTTCCCACTTTGTTCCCATTCTTGTCCCACTTTGGGGTTCTTGTTCCCACTTTGTTCCCATTTTTTTCCCACTTTGGTGTTCTTGTTCCCACTTTGTTCCCATTTTTGTCCCACTTTGGGGTTCTTGTTTCCACTTTGTTCCCATTCTTGCCCCACTTTCGGGTTCTTGTTCCCACTTTGTTCCCACTTTGTTCCTATTCTTGCCCCACTTTGGGGTTCTTGTTCCCATTTTGTTCCCGCTTTGTTTCCATTCTTGCCCCGCTTTGGGGTCCTTTGGGGTTCTTGCTCCCACTTTGTTCCCCATCCTTGTCCCACTTTCAACTTCTTGTTCCCACTTTGTTCCTATTCTTGTCCCACTTTGAAGTTCTTGTTCCCGCTTTGTTCCCATTCTTATCCCGCTTTGGGGTTCTTGTTCCCACTTTGTTCCCATTCTTGTCCCATTTTGTTCCGTTTTGGGGTTCTTGTTCCCACTTTGTTCCCACTTTGTTCCTATTCTTGCCCCACTTTGGGGTTCTTGTTCCCGCTTTGTTTCCATTCTTGCCCCGCTTCGGGGTTCTTGTTCCCACTTTGTTCCTATTCTTGCCCCGCTGTGGGGAGCTTGCTTTGTTCCCATTCTTGTCCCATTTTGTTCCCCTTTGCGGTTCTTATTCCCACTTTGTTCCCATTCTTGTCCCACTTTGGGGTTCTTGTTCCCACTTCGTTCCCATTCTTGTCCCACTTTGGGGTTCTTGTTCCCACTTTGTTCCCACTTTGTTCCCATTTTTGTCCCGCTTTGGGGTTCTTGTTCACTTTGTTCCCGTTCTTGTCCCATTTTATTCCTGTTTGGGGTTCTTGTTCCCACTTTGTTCCCA